AACAGTTGATAAATATTTCATTTGATTATATGTAAATCACAATGACTTTCAACAGTGCAAAGAAAAGCATCTGTATTGAAGACAGGATTTTGGTTTTTCAAAGGCTACTATGTTAAAAATGATGAACATTTTGTACCCACCTCTAAGAAGAACCAGCTGTGTTCTTAGAGTCTCTTCATGTGTTCAGCAGGTTGATGTGACTCATGCTTATACAACTTTGACTATGGACTACATGTGCCTCTAGGAATCACATGACACTAATTAAGTTCTTAGGGAAGATGCCACCTGGGATTGGTTCCTTAACAAGATTCTCCCCTAGCGACTCTCCAGATAACAGTGCAGTATTTTAGGTATCAGATTCTATTTTACTGAACTAAATTCAAATCTATACTATCTAAGAAATTCCATTATTAAAAAGTGTCTGTGTCCAGTGTATGCTGTATCTTCAGCAATAGGGTCTTACATTCAAACTCTGGAGGCAAACAAGGACGGTGAAAATAACCTATATTATTTTGAGAGTCTCTTGGACTATCTTGATCAACAACTTCAAGGGAGGTTTCCTTTGCCTGGCATTGTGAGTTTTGTTGTAAAGCTTTCAACTGAACACATGCAGTCACATACATATGTGCATTTTTCAGTAGGCTTATGAAACAATACCTTTACCTTTGGTGTTTCATTAGCATTATTTATCTCTTTTCGCCTTTCTCAATTCCCAGTTAAAATGCCCCTTATATTAACTATTTCCCCCTTTAGTAATGCTCATGTCCTACTATGCCTCTCTCTCCAATTCATTCTTCCTTTTTCCTCACAAAGTTCCTTTCTATTTCTCTGGCTTCTGCAGTTACATCAGGATGTGTACTCACATCTAGGAATTCAGAACTAGTATCCACAAGAGACAGAACATATGTTGCTAGTTTTTCTGAGGCTGGGTTACCTAATTTAGTATAACATTTGATAGTTGTATCCATCTACTACACTTTTTTAATGTTTTCTTTTTATGTTGTTTGTATAAGTGTATTTTCTGTATGTGCGTAAGTGTACCCATGTTGTTCATGCATGTGGAGGCCCGAAGGGTGCATAGGATCCCCTGGAACTAGAGTTACAGACAGTGTGGGTACTGGGAATCCAGCCTAGGTCCTCTGCAAGAGCAGTCAGTGCTCTTAACTGTTAAGCCATCTCTTCAGCCACTTATCTTCAAATTTTATTTCATTTTTATTTACAGCTGAATAGAGCTCCATTGAATTAATGTACCACATTTCCATTATCCATATTTTGAGGGATATTTAGGTGCTCCCATTTCTTAAAAATTGTGAAAAAAGTGGCAATAAACATGGATGAGCAAGTATCTCTATAGTAGGAAATTGGGTCCTTTTGTTATAGGCCAAGAAGTGGTATAGCTGGATCATATGGTTAAGTGATGAAATTGTAGTTTTTCAAGAATTCTCCACACTTAGATCAGTAGTGGGTACAGCAGTTTTCAATCTCACGGGCAGTGAATGAGTGCTCCCCACATTCTCACCAGCATTTGTTGTCAGCTGTTTCTTGATCCTTTTAGCCATTCTGACTGGAGCAACTGACTTGGAAATGACTTGGAAACTGCTTCTCTGAAGATTAGCACACATAATATTAGAAGATACTAAGCAAGATGCCAAGGGAGAAAATCAATCACTGGTCCTGCCTAACTGTAAAGCATTTGAACAACAGCAATAACCAGCCCTGAAATTTATCTCTAGTCTCTGTATTTGTACAAAGAGTCACTTTTATCTTAAGGGTAATCAACAGCTGTCTGAACAGACTTAAGGCCTGGTCAATGGGAAGGAATTCGTGCATGGAAACTGTAAACATAGCCAAGAACTCATGTCTGGAGAGACCATAGACTCCTGAGTAGAAACTCCCACTGTCACTCTCCTAGACCAACATAATTTTTCATAACATCCTAAATACATATCCTTATATTAACTGATATGTGTGGCTCTCACCATTCATCAATGAAGCTTCTTTCTGCAACAGATGGAGACTAGTACAGAATTCTACAACTTTTTAAAACACAGAGAATAAGTGAATGTTGAGGTATCCAGTCCTAACTAATACATCTAAAATGCAACCTCTACATCTAAGGCTCAAGGAACATACCAGAAGAGAGGGAGGAAAGATTATAAGAGCCAGAGGGACAAGACACCTACTGTGAGTTAATACACTCTAGACATCATAGGGAACCTACAACTATGGAATCTCTACAATACTGTAGCCTGAATAAAGGCAATACCAGTTCACATGGCAATGTTAATTGGAGAAATTTCATGGGTTTTCGCCTCAAGATCAAGAGTTACAGGCAGTCAATGGATGCTGAGGGAGGGAGAATGAGTTTTCTCCAGGGACCAGGTCCCTAATAAGTTTTCTAAACCTGAATAGACAGTACTGAACAGAGGTATACATAAGCACCATAGATTGGGCTTTGCACCACACATGCGAACACACACACACATGCACACACACATACATACATACATGTGTGTATGAATATATGTATACATATAAATACATGCATGTATATATGAAAATAATAATATAAAGAAGACAAGAAATTGTGAGGGAGTTAGGTGACATGGGAGGATTTGGAAGGGATTAGGAGGAATAGAAATAATGCAGATACAATACTCATGTATGAAACCCTCCCCCCCAAAATTACAAAAAGTAAACCCCAACTTTCTCACCTAAATCCATGTTAAAGTTATCTGGGAAATTAATATGCTGCAAAGATCCATTCTTCCTTGGACATGGTGGCACACACATTTAATCTCAGCACTCTCCAGGCAGAGGAAGGTGGATTTCTGTAAATCAAGACCAGGTTGTAGCACATAGAGAGTTCTGGGTCAGCTGGGACTATGGCAAGACCCTGTCTTTAAAATAAAATGAACAAAAGATTTATTCTTTTAAAAATTGTTTTATTTATTATTTTTAAAAAATGTTTTTATGTGTATGAGTGTATTGCCTGCATGTGTGTAACTGCACCCATGTTGTGCAATGCTTGTGGAGTTAGAAGAGGGCAACAGATCCATGGAACTGGAGTTATGGACAGTTGTTCGCTGCCATGTGGGTGCTGGGATTTGAACCCAGGCCTTCTGCAAGAACAGCAGTGTTCTTAACCACTGAGTCATCTCTTCAGCCCCTATTCATTATTTTATATTATTTTGTGTGTATGAGTGTATTGCCTGCAAATACGTAAGTGCACCTGTGCTGTGCAATGCCTCAGGAGGTAAGAACATGGCATCAGATCTCCTGGAACTGGAGTTATAGATGGTTGTTAGCCAACACGTGAGTGCTAGAAAGCAAACTTGGGTCCTCTGCAAGAGCAGCCAGTGTTCTTAGTTACTGAGCCCCTCTCCACCCTCCAAGAATCATTCTTTGAAAAAAACAAGTAAAATGTGTCTATCAGAGCACTTCATTATCTCTCACAAAATATTTCTTTTTGGTTTATTTGTCTGCAGTTTTTATGTATGAGTGCTTTGTGTGCATATGTATAAGTGCACCCATGAGTGTAATGCCTGTGGAGGCCAGAAGACAGTGTCTGGTGCCCTGGAACAGGAGTTACAGATAATTGTTAGCTACCATGTGGGTGCTGGGAATAGAACCCAGGTCCTCTGTAAGAGCTGCTCATGCTCTTCACCACTAGGCCATCTCTCCATCCCCAGAAAATTATTTAAAATGAAAATACGTAAATGATATGAATTAATGTACTAATAATCAAATTAGAACCATTTTATCTACAAATAGTACATTTATTAAGTTTCCATCTGTTGGCTCTTTATTCCATTTACCTCCACAGTAGAATTAGCATAGTCATTATTTTTATGAGTGGGATGGATATGTATTTATTATTTTATTTATTATTTTAATTTTATCTGTATAAGTGTATTGCTTGAATATATGTAAGTGAAATTATGTTATGCAATTCCCACTGAGGTCAGAAGAGGGTGTTGGAACTGGAGTTACTGATAGTTGTTAGCCACCATGTGGTTGCTGGGACCCAAATCCAGGTCCTCTGAAAGTGTAATCAGTACTCTTAACTGATGATCCATCTCTGTAGCCCAGGAATGGATATTTTAAACACATTATTTACCTTGTGTTATGTTTGAAGGTGACTACGAATTTTTGCTGCATAAATGCAATTTGAGACATTTAATATCTCAAACACATATTTGTGAAGTCAGACTCATTGGGCTGACAAAAGAACTGACATATATAATGTAAAGTGAAGAATTGCTTATTTTGGCTAATATGGGTTCAGAAGTTTTGTTTATTGTGGTGAAAATGTTGCAGTCAGAAAGCTGACATCTCTTAGGAACCATGTCACTTCACTAGGTGACTGCTTTCTTTTCCCACTTGTATTCCACTTATATTCCTGAGATGATGTGACTCACATTCAGGGCAAATATGCTCTCCTTAGTTAATTATCTATGAATATGCATTCACAGACACACCCAACTGCCTACTTTGTATTAATTCCTGTTTCTCAATCTTTAGATGTGACAAAAATATTATTCTCTTTAATTTTATACATGTGATATTTAATAGAATACTTAGTAAATAATATACATTGAGGAAATTGTCGTTTAGAAGAATGAAATCCCTGTTGACATATTAAAATGTTTATGTATTAAAATTAAATTGGCTATAATAAGCTAGGAAGCCATTGAATAAAAACCAATTTAGAAAATGAAAACACGGACATAGAATTGAAGAAAACATCTATATTCATACATCACATTATAAGAATTTATATATTATATAGCTAAAGCTAAAATTTAATTGTAATAACAATTTTAAGTTCATAATTGTTTTGATAGATATTTCACCAACTCTGGCAGGTTAATATCTAATAAAAATTTTAAATGATGTTCAGGGCCTGGAGAGATGGCTCAGTGGTTAAGAACATTGACTGTTCTTGCAGAAGACCCATGTTCGAATCTCAGCACCCACATGGCAGTTAGCAACTGTCTGTAACTCCAGTTCGACAGCCACTTCTGTCCTCAGCGAGCATTGCACGACACAGGTGCACTTATCTATATGCAGGCAATACACACATACACATAAAATAAAAATAATAAATAAAATATTTTAAAAATGATGTTCAACATTATTTAACAGTAAAGAAATGAAAATTACAAGAAGAGAATGGTGTCATTACATTCTCCAATGGTAACAGTGTCATTACAGTCCTCTAGTAGATTTCTCATCTGAACAGCACCAAGTACTGGTGTGGATGTTTAAAATGAAACACAATGCTGTTCAGAATGCAAACTAGACCAAACTAAATACAAATCCAGAAGTAGGATGGAAATAAAAAATATTTAATAGTATACAAAATAAAATATAGAAATAAAAGAATCTGAAAACAGTGTGAGAGTCTGAAAAGTTTTAACATAAATTCTCCTCTAATTCTGCAATTCTACTGCTAGGTGTTCATCCCAAAAGAAAGGTAGACCTGCAGATGGAAGACTACTAGGAGAAAAGTGCACAGCAGAACCATTTATACTAGGAAAAAAAGAAAAGAACAATCTCAATGTCATTCAGAAGTGACCATATGTGCAACTTGTGGTATATCTTGTGTAGATGGCTACACAAATATATCATATGACATTTCTAAATATATTACTTATATTTTATTATGATTTCATTTGATACTGCTGTAACACAACCTGGTTGTTTCTACATGTAAAACCCAGTTATAAGTGTACAGACCCAATAGGGGAAAACAAAGACCACAAAGATGGATGTGTAGGAAAGTGAACCTGGGAGGAGTTGGGGGAGGAAGGGTATGATCTTTGTTTGAAACACTTAATGAACTGATTTTTAAAAGGAACTATCAAAAATCAGGCGAAATATATTTTAAAAGGCAAATTTTTCTTCTAACAATTCAAGAAATTTTAATGAACATGCTTCACAAATGTTCAGTAATATCACAGTGCAAGTTATTTATTTTTAAAACTAAATAAACATTATAATTAAAAGGGAAACATTTACAGAATCTGATAAGCCTGTGAATAAAATCCAATGTGAAAATTCATTTAATTTTAGGCATTGCATAAAAATTACACAAGAATTTAAAATTATTTTTCACAGAAAACTTACAAGTAATTGGACTAAAGCAATTTCTTTTTTTAAAATTTTGTTTTGTTATGTTTTATGTGTATATGTGTATTGCCTGCATGTAGGTAAGTGCACCTGTGTCGTGCAATACCTGCAGAGGTCAGAAGAGGCTGTCGGATCCTCTGGGACTGGAGTTACAGACAGTTGTTAGCTGCCATGTGGTTGCTAGGATTCAATCCTGGGTCTTCTGTAAGAACAACCAGTGTTCTTAACCGCTGAGCCATCTCTCCAGCCCCCTGAATAAAGCAATTTCCATATCATCCTTCAGTGCATTGATGATATAGATCCGTATATGGTGTGGTACTCACATTTTCATTCAAATTAAATGATGGAAGAAATAGGGATTTTTGTTTTAAATAGAAGTAAGCATAAATATAAGCTTAAATGTAACTGTATGTTTAATTTAAATATGTTTAATACTAATTATCTTTAATTATAATTTTCAAGATGCCATGATCCACTGTACTTAAACATAGTTAAAAAAAAAACAAAACAAATCAAAAGCCGATGTTTCAAAAGATCAACTCTATTTCTCTAGTCCATATATTTTGGCTCTAAATACAAATTTAGTTAACCTAAAAGATGCAGTGAGTTATAAACCGATTTAATTAAAAGAAGAAGAAGATATAAATTTGAGAAGGGATGCCAAGAGGTGCCTTGTAGTAGGTGTGCTGTGGGGAAAAAGAGGTGGATATAATCTAAATGTATACATGTATGAAATTACCAAAGAATAAAGATTTCTTTAAAAAAAATCTTTATGTGCTCTTGGAACCATTTCTTCCAAATTAGCTACCAATTTACACTGGGTAGTTAGTGATATCTAAGTGTCTAGATTACAATTAACAGCACTGCTCACATCTTAGGGCCCCCTTTTTTTCCACAGAGTTGTCATTAAGCCTGTAAGTCAGCCATCTAGGTTATTATTAAGCAATGACAGTGATCCTAACTATATTTTCATTTACCAACAGAGTCTTAAAGTTACATTGGTTTGAGGGAATGGCATGGATTTATGATGAATCTCTTTAAAGCATCCTTCACATCCTTGTTCCGCAGGCTGTAGATCATAGGGTTCAGCATTGGGATTACCAAGGTGTAAAACACGGAGGCCATCTTATCAGTATCTAGTGAGTAGTTAGTTTGAGGCTGCAAATACATAAATAGCAGAGTGCCATAAAAAACCGTGACAGCTATCATATGTGAAGCACAGGTGGAAAAGGCTTTTTTCCTTCCTTCTGCTGAATTTATTCTTAGGATAGACAAAACAATGTTGAAATAAGATATTAGAACTATAGTCATGGAAAAAAATAAGTTTGTAGCTGCAGATATAAAGACCACAGTCTCTGGAAGGTAGGTGTCAGTACACGACAATGCTAACAATGGGACATTGTCACAGTAAAAGTGATTGATTTTATTGGAGGAGCAATAAGAGACAGAGAACACACATGATGACACAACAATAGCTGTACAAAAGCCATAGAGGTATGTGAGGGACACCAGCAGAAGGCAGACCTGCCGAGACACCACCAACATGTACAGCAGGGGGTTGCAGATAGCCACATAGCGGTCATAGGCCATCACGGCCAGCATGAATATCTCTGCTACAATGAACACCAAGAATCCTCCCAGCTGGGTGGCACATTCATAGTATGCAGTAGTTTTTTTACTGACTAGGAAATTGACCAGCATTTTAGGGGCAATGACTGTGGAGTTGCCAAGGTTGATGACAGCCAGGTGTCTGAGGAAGAAGTACATGGGAGTTTGGAGTCTAGAGTCCACACTGGTGAGGGTGATGATGCCCAGGTTTCCTGCTGCTGTCAGCAGGTAAATGATCAGGAAAACAAAGAAAAGTGGGATTTGTAGTTCTGGACGATCTGACACACCTACAAGAATAAATTCAGTTATCTGAGTGACATTTCCAAGATCCATGTAGGTGTTGGGAATTCATCTGTTTGGAGAGGAAACAAATTGGATAGAATACAAGTAATTATTTTCTAGCATTGTCATTAGACAGAAGGGGCACTCACTCCCTGGGTGAGATTTTCTTGTATCATGAATGAATGGCAGTCCAATGATAAAACTCAGTGTTTGAGGTCTGAACTTTCAAGGGTTTGATGAAAAGACAAATGCAAACACAATGTATTAAATAAACGACATGCTATCATGTTGCACATGAGCACTTACTTTACTACGATGCTGTTGAAGGATGGACATATTTATAGCTTGCAAGCATTTGAGGCTATGCTTTAGATCTTAGACTATGAGAAAGGCATGAAGAATAGATGATTCTGAATAGTCCAAAAGCTCTTTGGCAATTCTTAAGCTCAGATTTGTTTTCTCCCAATCACAGATGTTTCCAAGTCCTATCCACTTTTTTTTCCCCAAAGACTGTCATATAATACTATTAGTTGTACATTTAGCTTGCATTTTTGCCTCCAAGCATGTTATCTTATATTGTGTTTTATTTACTGATACTAAACCTCGTGTGTATATTTCCTTTGGTGTATTTTCAGACTTCATAATCTCTTCTCATCCTTTAACATCCTTTAGCAAGTGGAAATGTGACCATTTTGTGATTCCTAGACATTATTATAAATAGCATGCCTCTGTTCCTTTTTTACATTCTTTTCCCAGAAGCTTTATATTCTTTTGATTGAATGTTTGTATAACGCATAACCTAATAGTAAATTTAATGCATTTTTACAATGTATACAATTCTCTTCATTTCATCCTTTAACCAAAAAAATCATTATTTTGATCATTATATGCTTACTTTTTATAGTCTTAAGTATTTAAGGATGAGCACTTGCTGTAATTAAGCAATTAAGTTGTAATTACTTGCTGTAATTAAGTGTAATTAAGTTCCTTCAGCAGTTGCAACTGATAGCGCCTGTCATGAGGCAACCCCATCTTCATCCTTCATCAATACATTTGGACTTAACATTCAGAATGTTATGATTATGTCATCATAAACACCTGAGAAATAAATTTCCAGAGATATTGGCATGTTCTTTCTTTCTAAAAAGGACATGGAGAAAAATACCTCATCCTGCTGTAAGAGAAGAAAATAATGATGTGACTATGAAAAAAAATCAGAGAAATAAAAACCAGTTAATACTTCAAATTTTAGGACATCTGATATGTTAGTCTCTGACAGCAAACATCTGTCTTTAAGTATTTTTCTGATTTATTTGTAAGTCACATATCTTAAACAATGTTGAGACTTTACAAATTCCTTGTATCTTCTCATGCACCTGATGTTCCAGTTACAGGGAACAGCAAACAAAATCTGTGAAAGAAACACAGAAATGAGATAATTGTTGTATGTATTTTATATGATGAATAAATATGGAGATATTACTGATATTACTCAGGAGACTAAGTAAACATGGGATAATAAGGGACTTGTTTTTGAAATGGTGATATCTGAATTGAAACCTAATTAAACACAGAAAAGCAGATATTCAAGGAATCAGGGTCAGAAAATTCCAGGATTCCAGGCAATAGCAGTAATAAGCATGAGGAAAATGCTACTCTTGGTGGGAAACAATTCACAAAACTTAGAGTTTTCTGCATGGGGATGGGGAGCTGAACTGAGGAGTCTGTCACCAGATTGTTGTTAGAAAACAGAATCATATAATACAGTTCATGACTTGCACTCTATTACTACACAGATTTCCTTTTAGTTAATTATTCACTATGGAGAAATTTAAGAAAGGATACTAATTTGATTAGCTTGGTGTGAAATATTCTTTTTGCTGGTGTTAAGATGATGAATTATAGGGGTCAAAAAGAGAAAGTGATGGCATATAAAAGAAAACATTAAAGGGCAAAGCCACTTAGTCAGTTTTTATGGAATTTCTGGAATGAGATAGTGCTGGATGGGCCAAAATAGGGAAGAATAGAATTTAAGGGAAGTCAAATTTTACAGCCAAGAAGAGAATATGATGATGCCATCAATATAATTCACTCAGTAAACCAGAGGGGATGGAAGAGAGGGAAATGACAGATAAATGGAAAATTTATGAGTTTTGGGTATTAAGTCAATGACCATGAAATTGTTTCATTACTTTAATAAATGGTTTAAGGTGGAATAATCAAAATTATTTTCAGTATCCTGAGCTTTGACTGCTTATGAAATGTCATATGAGAAATTTAGATAATGAAATATTGCTGCATAGAGTGCACTGATGGATGTTACAAGTGTTTTAGAAACTTCAAACCAAGTAATGAGAGATTATTTCAAGACATTTATTTCTTTAATATAAAACAAAGTTTAATATGCTCCTCATCCAATATCCATCATTATCCACTGATGCTTAATCCTTCAAGTTTAGTAAATTTAGCATAAAGCAAAATGGCAACAAGAACAGCAACAAATTGTACCAGACGCAGTAGTTGACATCTCTAATCCCAGCAGTCCTGAGACTGAGGCAGGAGGATGGCGAGCTTCATGCCAGTTGGGGATGCATAGGAAGACACTACCTCAGAAAGAAAGAGAGAAGCATGGTGTAGTGACTCAAGGCCTGTAACCACCAGACTCCAGGGGATGTGGAGGTGAGGGCTGAGATGTCCAAGGTCATTCTGAGACCCTGACTCAAACAAAGATGGAAGGGAAGAGAAGGATGAGGAAGAAGGAGGAGAAGGAGGAGGACGGAGGGGAAAGAGGAAGTTTAGTTTTGGAAATTCTACATTAGGTGAATGAGCTAAGTTCATTAGGAAAGTTAGAAATGCATATCTGCTTCCTGGGTATTGTTTCCCCCATGATGATGAGAGAGGCTTTGTCAGCAAACTGGGAATTCAGGTTTCTGTAGTTAAGGTCAGCTGGAAATGGAAATCCATTATTTTGATACCTCATGAATCCTTTTTTTCATATATTCTTTTGTCATTTAAAATTATTTTATTATTTTTATTTTATGTATATGAGTGTATTTCCTGCATACTGTATGTAAGTGCACCCATGTGGTGCAGTGCTCACAGAGGTCAGAAGAGAGCATTGGATCCCCTGGAACTGGAGTTATAGGCAATTCGAACCTGGTCTCTTCATATATTCTTAACTAGAATCTTGGCAAGTTTATTTTACTTTATTATAAAGGGCTTACATAAAAAATTCATTGATTCCATATTCTAATCTGTTATATGTGTTTGCCTATATGGTATCAGATGCTTTGGGTTTTTTGTTTGTTTGTTTGGTTGGTTGGTTGGTTGGTTGGTTTTGGTTTGGTTTGATTTTTGAGACAGGTTCTCCCTCTAGCTACAGCTTGCCTGGAACTCACAGGAGTCCTGCCTCTGTCTCCCCAAGGCTTGGATTAAAGGCATGAGCCACCAAGTCTGGCTAACCATAAGATAGTTTTCAATGTTTTTATGAGACATTCTCATTTTGTAGCTCAGGTTGACTTGTAGCTGTTTCCTATTCTGGTCTCCAACTTACAGTCCACCTGCTTCAGCCTCCTAAATGTTAGATCATGTATGTACCTCACTTTGCATGACTATCAATAGGTTAGCTAATGCTTTTCTAAAGAAGATTTGTGACATATTGCCTTCTTGAGGAAGGGTAACATTTTGTTTGTGGCCCCATGTTTCTGCTTTTCTTTTATAAGCATAATGATAAAATCATGAGTGAAATTTTCCTTTTAGATAATAGAACAACAACAAAATTATACTAATCCTCCAACTGAGAAAGACTATATTGTTTCAAAAGCTATATGAATTACTTAAACTATGAGACAGTGATTGCTAAATTTGCAAACATAAATAGCTGACCATTTTCAACAACTTGTGTTAATAAAGACAGCTAAAACCCTAAAGAAGTAGTTGTTTAAATATTGTACTATTTGATTGTCAGGAATTCCAAGTCTTCCAAAATGAAAAAGGAGTAGTTTGCTTTAAGATATGGTATGCATTTGAAAGCCCTCATATTAAAATAATATAAATATTTTTACTCACCTGTACTGGATAATGATTTTCATGTTCTTAGTGAGAATCTCTACATGACTACAGCCACTATAAACCTGAGATACAAATTCTGAAGCAGAGTGACGGCAGGATCCATACATTGCTTGTAGCTTCCTTAGGGAAGATGCTACTGGGACTGGTTCTCTAACAAAATCCCCTCTAGGAATTCGTCCATAAACAAATAAGGAATTCAATTTTTTGGAGACAAGAGATCAATGTACATCTCCCCAGGGTGGATTGAGAACTCCCTACCCTCCTTCCTCTGAGGGACATACTGTATTTTCTTTGCTGTGGACAGAGCCTATATTACTGAATTGAGTTCAAGTCATGGCATCTAAGGGAACATAGTCATTCAGTTGTGTCTTTCAATGCACTTCATTCCTTTGCCAGGATTTGTCATTGTAAACATGGATGTTCTAGTACCTAAGAACCAGTGAGGCAGCAGTAAAATGAGAAGAATTCACCTGTAAGGAATATGTTCATTATCCTGTTCTCTGTGTTCATTTTTATTCCCTTTTCCTTCAACAATAGAATTGATAGTCACTATCTCCAGGAATGGCGTTAAGTGGATATTAAAGAACAACTTCCAGGGATTGGGGAGGTAACTCCATGTAAGTAGGAGGACTCTAGTAACCATATGAATTCCTGAACATGGTGCACGAGCCCCTCAGAAAGCACTAGGGTCAGATACAAGGGGATCCTTAAAGTTTACTGGCCAGCCAGCCTAATATCTATAAATCCTGATTCCTCATACCTAAGAAAATGATTGCATTTAGAAATTAGACCTTAAAGGGAGAAATTGGTTAAAATTGGCTCATGTGCCTCTTTGCACGTTTATTGTACATACCTGTATTTACAAATAACACAGTAATATATGCTTTATAAGAACTGAGAAACAAGGGACTGGAGAGATGGCTCAACAGTTAAGAACACTGGTTCTTCTTGCAGAAGACCTGTGTTCAAATCCTAGCACC